GGCAGTGGAGCTGCAAGGCCGGCGGCGGCGGCCGGGGCTATTGGGGGCGGGGTGTGTGGCCTTATGACACACTTCCGGTGATGTCAGGGGGTGTGGCATATGCTAATGAGTTATGCTAATGAGTTCCCCTAGCTCTTTTTCTACGAAACAACACCTGGTCCTGTTTATCTTTGCTGCAACTCTGCAAGTCCGTAGGAGGCACAGAGATGGCTTTTGTTTGTTTTTGAAAAGATAAGAGCCAGAGGAGAACTTCACTGGATAATACTGTCTGTCAAGAACCCCATTTTAAGGGCTAGCAATGTCTTGCTTTTGACTGCCCTCCCTGGATACAATCACCTTGTGTTACCTTTCTGGGAAGCCCCCTACCAACTCAGACAGAGCCAGGAAATTCATAGATTCTAATTCTGGACTCACCCTTACAATTATTTCTTTGATATTATTTTCATGCTGTCTCTCATAACTACCACGGCTCTGCCAGCCAAAACTGTGCAGTCTCATCCTCTCCACTTGTGCAGAGGCTGGTAATTCCGCTTTTCTTTCTTTGGCAGTTTGGGACATTTCATTGCCACACAGGAGTGTCCCTCCACTACCTTACCTTCTTAGTTTTTCCTTCAGACCTTTGGAATTTCTGCCTAAAGCCATTGCTCTCAACCTGTTGATTATCGAAAAAGACAACTTGTACTCTACCCAGCTCAGTTAGACTGAGATCATATAAGCGCTTTCTCTCTGTTCATTCCTTTTTTCTTCTCCCCTTCTTTAAATCCCATTCTCTCTCACTCCTCCTCCTGTCTGTTCCCTGGAGCAAAATTCTCATTCAGCCAGAGGTTTGACGCACTTGCACTTTCTTTTTCTCTCCAAACTCTTCATACACACAACCTTCTGAACACCACAAGTTTGCTGTTCTTATGCTTGAGTTCCTTTTCAATTCCTGTATCCCTACATTCAGGGCCGGCTCCAGGGTTTTTTGCACACTAGGCGAGGCTACCTTCTGGCACCCCCTCCTATATGCCCACCAATTTTCAAACATAAATGCATTTTAGGAAATAATAATGATGATGTTTGTGGGGATAATAAACGTGAGCAATGGCTTTGATTATGATGTGATATGCCAGGCTTACTTTCTCCCCTTCCCCACAAACATCAAACCCCAACAGCACACTGACTCCAATCTCACTTTAGTGCCAGTTCCTGTCCTCAAATTCACAGAGAAACCCAAACACTCTCATTTGGCAAATGCAAGCCAATGCCAGGACTCACACAGCAGAACCAGAGCTTCCAATTTCAGCACTGGAGCTAGGGATGCCAGCCTCCAGGTGGGACCTGGGGATCCCTGGAATTACAGCTCATTTCCAGTCTACAGAGATCAGTTTCCCTGGGGGGAAAACTGATGTTCTGGAAGGTGGACTCTATGGCATTGTGCCCCCCTGAGGTCCCTGTCCTCCCCAGATTCCATTCCCAAATCTCCAGGAGTTTCCTAACCTGGACTGGGTCAATCCCCCCCCCCAATCCCCCAGAGGTGGCCAGAGGGAACCTGGCAACCCTAATTAGGGCTATTTTAGCTAGGGAAGGAGGGGAAAGGTGGAAAGAAAGCAAATAGATGGGGAGAGGGGGGAGAGGGGGAGAAGCTGGGGAAAAACCTAATAGGTGGGGAGAGAGAAATGAAAGACAGAAAGAAGGGAAGGAAAGAAAGTCAGGCTGCAAGGGAAGCAGCCCGGAGTGGGGTGGAGCAGCTCCCCAGCCTCTCGTTTCCAGCTCTCACACACCTCAAGAGAAAGAGAGGGAGAAACAGAAAGAGAGGGACAGAGAGCGCAGCCACACCCACACCTACTGGAGAAAGTGAGCCCAGGATTTTCTGTATCCTGGAGCAATGTGCTCCCTGCAGCACAAGAGTTCCTGGGGCTCACTTTCTCCTGGGTGGCTGGGTGGGTGCAGCCCTAGGCTTCCTCCCACCCCACCTCACCCCACCTGAAACAAGCCCCCGCTCCTTGCACCCC